ATTACTATTACCTCTAATTTTTGGATAATTTTATGTCAAACGTCAATAAAAAAAGTTTGGAAAATCCAAAACTGCACGACTCATAATGCTCATAATATGATCGTAAAAAAAATTAGAAAAAATCTTAATCAACAATAAAACATATTTTTTTTAATTTTACTATATAATTATTATTGAGTTTCAAAATTTTTTTTATTATTGTTAATTGAAAAACTTTTTACAGAATTATCTTAAAACGATCAGAAATCAACTTTAGTATTACTTTAATTTTTAGGTATTTGTACTCAGGCATTATCAACAAAACTAGTGTTTTTTACCTAAGTTCTTAATAAATAATTTTTCTAATCAACTTTAATTCGTTTTTAAAAAGTTTTTCATCTAAAGTTTTTCATCCAAAGTATAACCTTCGCAGGTATTGTAAGGGCGGCACTGAAAATTTCGGGAATCAAGGAAGTGATACAACATTACTATTTAAAATGTATTTATTGCTTTTCGAAGTATTTTCCGCGAAATTTGAAACATTTTTCCATACGATGGAACCAATCATTGATCCATTCGGAAGTTGGGGTCTCCAAAATGGCCGTTTTGTAGGCGTCTTCAGCGTCGACAGCTTCTTCAGGTGATGAAAATCTCTGTCCACGCAATTTATTCTTTATTTTAGGGAAAGCATAGAAATCATTAGGGCTTAGGTCGGGGCTGTACGGCGGATGGTCTAATAATTCTATGTTTTCTTGCTCTAAAAACTCTTTTGTTCTCTGTGCGGTGTGAGAACTCGCGTTGTTATGATGGAGGATAATGCGGCGGTTGCAGTTCTCTTTACGGAGTTCAGAAACGACCTGTGGCAAACAAATGCTAGCATACCATTCCGCATTAACCGTTCTTTGTCCCTCAAGAGGAATAGTCGTAACATGGCCGGTTTTGGAGACAAACGTGGCCACCATTTTTTTTGCAACACTCCGTGAACGAACAATTTTTGTTGGCTTTAACTCATTTTCGTACGCGTATATCCAGGATTCGTCACCTGATACAATGTTGTACACAGCATTTGAGGATCCTGCGTGGAATGTTTCGAGAGTTCTGACGCACCAACATATGCATGCACCGCAGTTGAGTGGAACAGAGTAGCTGAATGCAGTGTCGCCTCTAGTACGTAGTACATAATAGCTCAATGGACAAGACCGAGAATCTTTTTTAAATAAATAAATGGTATTCGATTTTTATAACCAAGGAGTTTTCAATGAAAAATTTTTATTATGACAGGAACAGTGAAAATATTCCATTACCGATACTTTTAATGCAGCCTAGTAAAGCTTTGATTTGACGGACATCTTAATTTCTGAATTTTTCATTACTTTTTTTAGCCACTGAGTGCTACCAGTCATAACATATGGCTGCCAAACTTGGGTACTTACTAAAGTGCAAAAAAAGAAACTAGAAACCTGTCAGACGGCAATAGATAGGAGCATGCTGAATATAAAGAAATCGGATAGAATAAGGAACAGAATTATTTGGAAACGTACCAAAATAGAAAATGTAACAAGGAAAATAAGAAAACTCAAGTGGAAATAGGCAGGCCATAAAATTAGAGGCATTGAGAAATGGAACAAAACCATTGTATAACCAACAAATAGAAAAAGGACAGTTTCGAAGGTAGGAAGACGAAATAAAGGCCACGGCAGGGAAAACATGGACTAGGAAAGCAATGAACAGAACAGCGTGGAAAGAAATGGAGGAGGCCAAGTTGTTGGTGTCATCGACTAACCAGAGTCGTGAATATGAGATTTATGTTTAAAAAAATGTCTGAATAAAGGCTTATATTATATTATATTATTATAAAGTGCATCTTAAAGGGAAATGTTAAAAATACTACCTCAAATGGCTTAGCAAGATCCTTCGTTATGCCGAAAATATTGCAGCATTAATTTTGAAATAAATATATGGTAAAGTTGAGGATTAATGTTAAGGTTTATGTTAGGCGAAAACACGATTCCGTAAAATTTTCTCGATAGAAAAAAATCATTGTTACCTCCAAACTGAACAATAAACCGCTGTTATTCATAAAATATTTTAAATTAGATCATGAAACTTTGCATACTAACTGAACTAACTATAAAGCAGGGCGATATTTTTTTTTAATTACCATCATTTTCACCGTATAAAGAAATTACCTAAACTATCGGCGTCTTGAAGGTTGTTTCCTGCCGCCCGGTTAGTCTTTTCCGTATATACACTCTTATCTGTGGTTAGTCTCGCTTCTGCTTTTGAACGGGGAAGCTGTGTCACGATCAGAATACACATTACGCAACAGGACGACGTCAAATTAAAATGGGAAATAACCGTAATAAGGGTGGCGATAACTACCTTTTTATGGTCGGGGGAATTGGTCAGATAAGTATATATATAACCGTGCTTTTATAAAGAAATCTGATTATAAAAGCAATAATTATATCTTACCTTGGTCAAGTATGTATCAAATTCGGTTTTTGGAGTATTTTTTTATTTCTACAGCGATCGATATTTTTGATCACGAGCCGCTGTAAACACTATATATATAATACACTATAAACACTGTATATATATATATATATTTTTTTTTTTTTTTTTGTTGTAGCATGAATGGGTCGGCTCGACCGGTGAAGGACCACGTTCTCACAGAATACCAGCGTAAAATAGTAGCTTGATGCTGCTGTGTTTCGTATGGTGAGTGTAAAGAACCAGAGACCCTTTTTTCTGGAAACGAGGCATTCCATCTTAGTCCTCACTGGTGACAACGTATCTGCATTTTGTTTTGTAATCGAGGGTAGATGTAGATGTCTATGGGCCGCAACAACCCCTTACCATCAGGTGGACTGTGTGCTAGTTTATCACCATATCCTATAAAAAATGGAGAATCTAGGTAACCGTTAACACTTTTTAATGGCAACGAGGCATTTCATTTTTGTCCTCAGGCATAACAACGCATCTGCGTTCTGATTATGAACCTAAAACAAAAATAAGTATGTCTGTGGGCCACAGCCACCATTTATTTAGGTTCACCCTTATCCTATAATAACTAACATGTCCGTGCTCTAGTAATTAACACAGGAGTGGTATCAGTACTTACATGTTGTTCTTTGAATAGGTTCAAAAGCATTAAAATAATAAACCTACATTACTAACAAACAAGAGTACACAACTTAATTTAATCAGCTCAAATTGCGTACTCAATAAAAGCTTGTTAAAAAGCTTGACTAAAATATGATAACAACTAACACTTTAAATGATATATTGCTGTGGTGACGTTCTTATCAAAATTGATTGATTTATATTTGACATGATTATCATATGTTATATTTAAAAAAATATTTAGTTACATAGGGTGCGTTCGGCAGAAAAAAGCGCTAGCAAGCGCTTGTAAGCAAAATGGCGATCGTAAGCGGTAAGCGCTGTCAAATCGTAAGTAGCTATTTTCCTCTAGGACACGATGTTAGTTTTAACCGGGGGAATCTAACCTAATTTAAATATATGTTTGTAAAGTATTCATATTAAAAACTTACCAATCATGAGTTTTTAATAGCATGTATATGTTTATTCATGTCATTATATTACTTAAAACTAATATTGCACAAAACAACTTATAAACTCTACTTCTAAACAAACAAATTAAATAAGCAAAATGGCGGATTGTGTCAGCGCTACTGAAGTAGCAATTGTGTCCTGGCCGAAAACTATTTTAGCGCTTATAAGCGCTTGCTAGCGCTTTTTTCTGCCAAACGCACCCATAGTATTACGATATCTCTTTTTAAATAAAATTGAAATGACAAACGAATTAGTCCACTTGATGGTTAGTGGCTGTTGCATCCCGTGGATACGTAGAGACAACAGACAGCAGCAAATAAAAAAGGCCACAGATGCCTTATCATCTCTGAGAAACATAATTGAACGCCTCATCGGGATACAGCAGTGTGCGCACTCATGCTTGACAGCAATGTAGATAAGAGTAACCCTCCTTTTCAGAAAATCTTTTTATACGTGGTAGAGCCATGCTGCAGTCATATTAGTGGTATGGTTGTAGCACGAATGCGTCGGCTCGACCGGGGAAGGACCACGCTCTCCCAGAATACCAGCGCAAAATAGTAGCTTAATGCTGCCGTGTTTCTTGTGGTGAGTGTAGAGAACCGGAGACACTGTTTACAGGAAAGGGCATTACATCTTAGTCCTCACGGATGACAACGCATCTGCATTTTGATTCGTAATAGAGGATAGATGTAGATGTCTAAGGGTCACAGCATCCACTTATCATCAGGTGGACTGTGTGCTCGTTTGTCACCCTATCCTATAAAAAAAATCTTCTAAGCAGATAAGAAATACTACTTAATTAAAAAACCATATATGATATCCTATTATGCAGGTTGAAGTCTAGGACATATAAGTAGGTTATCTAGTTATATAGAACTAGAGCCGTGGTAGCTCGGGTTCGATCCCCGCCGGCACCAATTAAATTGTTAATTGCTGATCGTTAAGTGCTAATTTACCACGTTCTCAGCGGTGAAGGAAAACATCGTGAGGAAACCTGCATGTCTGAGAAATAAAGAAAAATATTTCAAAGATATGTGAAGTTCGCTAACACGCATCGGGGCAGCGCGGCGGACATTCCATTGTCCTAAAACCCTCTTAGAAATGAGATGAAGCCTGTTCCAAGCAGTGAGGAGTATGTAGGATGTAACTTTATAAGTAACTTTAACTTTTACAACTAGAGCAACATCTAACTCACGTAAAAACAAATCTTGAAGCTGAATTTCACCGTGGCATCACACGTGTAGGTAGCCAAAGTTAAATTAGCAGAGTGGACAATTGTATATTTGCATTAATATGGGGATGGATGCAGCGCGAGATAACAAGGCGGTGGGCGGCGCCGCCCGCCCAGCGCCACACGGATATATAAGCGGGCGCGGAGACTACGGCGGCACATCGGACTACAACCACCGCCATTGACATCGCCTAACCTCCAGCTAGACTACATGAGGTAAGCAACAAAACTAAAATTTCGAATTTACTTATATTTTCCAAATTCATAAACAGCATAAGTGGTTTTATTATTTGAATTTGTTAGTTGGTTGTCATTCAAAAATACTACAAATAATAATAACAATACCAATAATCCATTTTCGTAAATTAAAAAGTATAACAAAACGTCTGTTCTACATAAAACTATATAATACATATTTGTTAGAAAAGGAATAATTTGTGAACAATTTCTTCTTGCCTTCGATTTACGAATTAAAATTGAGCTATTTCAATTATAGTGAAAATTTAAATAATTTCATTAAAATGGTCATTAGTAAAATATTTTAATTTTAAATAATGGATATAAGTCTAGATAATACAATAAAGGTAACATTTGTCCTCTGAGCATGAGTTTACTATCTTATCGAATTCGTATTGCTATCGAGTTATTTTGTGTAGCAAAACATAGTTCAATTAACGTCAGCCAGGATTTATATTCACATATCCTTCCATACAATTTTTTTGAAATTTAGTGTCAAAAATATGTGTTAAGGGCATTGTTCTTTAAACTATAAAATTATTAATAAGGTATATCAAAAACTATGTATAACAACAGCCATTTTATTATTTTCCCACTTTTTGTAGTTCGTAAGTTAAGTTTTTATTTATTTTATATTTTTCTTATCGTGACAAGTACAACTTTTATATACTTTTAATCTGAAAACTATTGTAGTTGTGTGAAGTAAATAAATAGTGCTTAAAATATTCTATAAACTTTTACTATATTGTTATAAATAAGATATAATATCTGAAAAAAAAAACGTCAATATTGAATTTATGATTTCGCTTAAATTTTAAATAGTATTTATTTTCTTACCTTCCCTTGTAAAAATAACCGTCATTAATCATTTGTAATTTCCTGTATCTTAAAGGCTAGTGACATACATTAACCGCTCATGGATAAACATCCAGATACGGAATAATTATTTGCAGACTTTAAACTCGCAGGGAAATATTTGTTCCATGCGATCTTGAACGCGCGATCCACAGCGCTGCCGAGTACTATTTTACTGCTCATCCGAGCCATTATCACTCGCTTTTTCCTTGTCAGTCCACAGACAGTTACCTTTTGGAGATGGCTATAAAAAATTACTGGTTCGCCCATTTTCGATTACTTATTCATTGCAGCCTATCAATATAGGCCACTTCTGTATACAGCTCTCCTCCATATATTGCCGCATATCGGACATTCCTGTTCAACAACACTTAAGGTTTTATTAGATTTTTTTTATATAGTTTGCCGTGTGGCGGTAGCTTAGTAGAATCCAGCACCCCATTTCGTCGCTTGGTTTGCCCCTATGGGAAGTGCCAAAAAAATCTTGTGGCTTCCAAAAGATAGCTGTATACCATTATGTTACTTACGTGGTAGAGCCACGCTGCAGCTATATTATGGTTGTAGCACGAAAGGATCGACTCGATCGGGGAAAGAGCACGCTCTCACAGAATACCAGCGTAAAATAGCAGCTTGATGCTGCTGCTTTCGTATGATGAGTGCAGAACCGCAGACCCGTTTTACTGGAATTGAGGCATTCCATATCAGTCCTCAGGGGTGACTACGCATCTGCATTTTGATTCTCAGTCGAGGTTAAATGTAGATTTCTATGGGCCACAGCATCTACTTACTATTAGGTGGACTATGTGCTCATTTTTCACCCTAATTCTATAAAAAAGACATAGAATACCCAGACCGGCGAGAGGTACAGTATCAAAGGTACGAGCCGCCTTGTACCGTGATTGGCAATCTGCATGCCAAGTGTGTGTGAAAGAGAGAGAGAGAGAGAGAGAGAGAGAGAGAGAGGGCTGTAGGAGAAGAAAAAAATACATATATTTTATATAATACAACGAATATATTAAGAAATTTTATAAACATATAAACAAAGAAATTGAACACTTTCTTCAATCAAGTTGCGTACAAATAATATAAAATAATATTCTCTTACCCGAGTGCCTGAAATGATTTAAATAAAAAATACTAATCCAAACAACGCGGGAAAATTAAATATGTAATAGTGATTCTTATTCATTTTTATTCATCTTAATTTATGAAAAATGTTTTCTACCTCCAAAAAAAATTATAGACGGTCAAACAGGATTTAGAAGCGGCGCGGGGCCGCGGGTTTGAATCCCGCACGGAAAGAATATCTCCGGGTCTGATTAAACGATGTTCAGCATTATAATTATTAAAACATGGCGTTGAACAGACAGTTCATAACTTTATTTGATCCTCTACGGCCTACCACAAGTTGAGGTAAGGCCTGTTTTTTTTACAGTGTCATTCACTTCACCCAGTTTAGAGTAACCCCTTTCTGTTCATTTGCGATTTGCTTTGCATATCTTTTCAATCGAAATCGAGCTATCGTTTCAGGTACCTTACATGTCTTTGAAATAAATAACCGATCCATTCGTTGCGTGGTTTAGCTGTCGAATAATAATGAAAGAGCACGTTAAAAATCCTCCGCTAAAACAAATTTACTAGTTTACATTTTCAACTCTAACCTATACTATCTGGCATTATCATCATCAAAAACCCACACAGCTAACGTGACGGCATATTTAAAAGCATGGTTTTCGTATATGTATATAAAAATATGAACTAAAATAATATGTTTGCGGATTGATAATGACGCGATATTTTTAGACAAAAATTGCGAGCAATCAAATGCCATTATCTGCTTGCACGTGGAACTTTTCTATTAGCCTTGAGCTTTACCAATTGATGAAAGGAGAAATTATTAAATTCACTGTTTGCTTCGACGTTTCGTAGATTCCATGCGAATGTTTTCAATACGTACCCTACGTTAATTAAATACGAAATAGATGAAAGCAATACGAAACACTAAAATGCAATATGAGAGTCAAAAGCTTTTTCGAGCAAAATATTTCTGCAGAGTGTTATGAACGTATTGCTTTTTATACAAGGAACCTGAAGATGCTTATTATTATTACTATTAATTGAAAAATATAAATTGTCAGGATTTTGTCACTTTTAATCTTTTTTTTTTTTTTAAATTTCCAACGATTCAAGTGCTTTGTAGCATCCATGGTCATGTGGGAACTGAGATTTTTTTTATAGTAGAGTGGGCAAATGAACATGCAGCTCAACTGATAGTAAGTGACTACCGCCTCCCATGAACAACTGCAACACCAGGGGAATTGCAGGTGTGTTGCCGGCCTTTTAGAAAGGAGTAAGCTCTTTTATTGAAGGTATCTAAGTCTTATCGATCCAGAAAATTCGCCGATGGTAAACGATTTTACAAAAAGGTTGTATGATTTCTTATATTTACGCGAACACTACACATTGAAATAATACTACTTTTTACGGATTTTATCGCGTATATTTAACTATAAATACCCGACGCTTCGAGCGCTTTACAGGTCACGGGGGGGGGAGGGACAGTCCCCCCCCGTGACCATGGGTGCTGTAAAGCGCTCGAAATCCCCCCCCGTGACTATGGGTGCTGTAAAGCGCTCGAAACGTCGGGTATTTATAGTTAAATATACGCGATAAAATCCGTAAAAACTAGTATTATTTCAAGGTTGTATGAGGAAGAAAACTCCTATTAAAACGCACAGTGGTAGACCACCAAGCATCCCGATGGTGTGGATGTTATTGTGAGTTTTGATGCGATGTACATTCGTGAAATTTGGCGGCTGGAGTTAATCTGAAAAATTCAACATCCCTTCGCAGTGCTTGTGAATCGAGCCGGTCAGAAAGAAGTCGGTTGCTGACAATTCGAGCTGCTTTGCGCTGGATGCGACCAAGGAAGGAGCTGGTACTGGGGTGTCCGGACCCAGGGATGGAAACAATATGTGAGGTCAAACATGAACCTTGTGCCGGCTTGAAATAATGAGCCGCTCTGCTCAATACGCCAAGCTTTTTAGAGGCCAGTCTGGTCTTCTCTTCCGAGTGACCACAAAATTGCACATCATTCGATATGTCGACATCGAGGATCTCAATGCTAGCTGAGGCGGTAGTGCCCTTAAACTGAAGATATACCATAAAAGGGTTATTTTTAGCGATAAACGTGCAGAATTGTATCTCCACCAATCAGAAACAGTACAAAAAAGTCTTGTACAAAAAATTTTTTGTACAAAAAAGCCTTACACTCACCGGCTTAGCCGTCTCCAGATGATAGTGGATGACGTTTAAATTTGAGTAAAGTCCCTTGATGTTGCGTGACATGGGTCACCTTGGTCTTATTACTCAGCTAGCCCCGAGCAATTTTTAGTGTTGAGTGAAATTTTCACCCCCCCCCCTCCCATAGAATATGCGGGGCAGCCTGAGCACCCGCGTTCAGAAGTAGAGTAGGTGGGTTGTGGATGCTCAGCGAGGGATTCTTGACATGTTTGACGTCTCATCTTTCTTTAAAGATAGAATTTTGATAACTATTTTGAACAATAAATTAATTAAAAATCTCCTTCCTCTCTTTATATTATTTTTTCAAAAAAAAATTACGTGAATAAGTACGTCACTTTTCAAGAGATTGACGTATTAACATTATTTATATATTGAAGCGCCGCGTCGTATCAACTAATATATCGTACAACTAGTGGAAAAAGAACTAATTCAATGGTATTCACGCACGCACATTTGGATTTACCAAAATTTTTATACTTTTTATTTATTTCTCCCACTTTTTATACAGTTACATTTCTTTCATAAATAGTTTATTAGTTTTAACAAATTAAAAAGGTTTAATTCATAACGAAAATTAAAAATATTTAGAAATATCCATTTTGTAAATAAACGTGAAAAATTCCCCCTGTTTTGTAATTAACAAAAAGACCTTATATATGCAGATTAACTTTGTTACAGAACGCGTTGAAATCTAATCAACGCATTTCGTCCCTTTTTAACAGCATAAAGTAAAATATTTTGTTATTTGAAAAAAAAAATTACGTTACCATGCAATATAACATACTGACATAATTAAATCTAGTAAGGTGTTTCTGGCGAATTTATTAACCTTTCTTATTTCGCTACAGCTTTCTAGCCCTGAATATCAACGATATAATATAATAATCTTAATATATATAAATTACGTGTCACGTTGTTTGTCCGCGATGGACTCCTAAACTACTTAACCGATTTTAATCAAATTTACACACCGTGTGCAGTTTGGTCCAACTTGAGAGATAGGATAGTTTTTTTGCCCATGAGTGACCCACAATTTTTTTTGTGAATTTAAGGATTTTTAATAGGACATGACAGGGTCGTCGAAAAGGGCAAAACAACGTCTGACTGACAAGCTAGTTCATTATAAATTAACATAGTTTTATCTACGGCTCTAGCTTAAGTTCTTCTTTTATTTCTTTTTAATTATTTATATATGCATTTTGTTGAGCCGTGGTAGGTCAGGGGCTTAGCGCTCGCTATTTATTTCATAGTACGCGAGAAACCCGAGTTCGATCCTCGCCGGCACCAATGAAGTTGTTAATTGCAACTTTAAGTGCCGATTTACCACGTGCTCGGCGGTGAAGGAAGGACATGTGAAGTCTGCCAACACGCATTAGGGCAGCGCGGTGGGAGCTTCCTTGCCCTAAAACCTTCTCAAACGCGAGAGGGAGGCCTATGCTCAATAAGATTCTGTAAGAGGCTGTAATTAATATTTACTTTTTTTACTTTTATGCATTTTGTTCATATTTGTTAGTTTATTTTTAATATATTACAAAATATAACAAATTAAAAAAAGTATTCTCCAAAGCATTTTTTTTTTCATTTTTATCAATTGAAAAGCACTTTCTTACCTAGATTGTAGAAATTCATTTCTTCTTAGGAGTCTATCTGGCTACGTACCACCTAGTGCAGTACATCACAGCAGTGCAGTGTTCTGGTCTGAAGGGTACACGGAACCGGTATAATTACAAGCCGTGAGGCATTATTTTACGTGGTAGAGCCATGCTGCAGTTATATTAGTAGTATAGTTGTAGCACGAATGGGTCGGCTCGACCGGGGAAGAACCACGCTCTCACAGAATACCAACGTAAAAGCACACCATAATAAACATAGCAGCTTAACGCTCCTGTGTTTCGTATGGTAAGTGTAGAGAACCGGAGACCCTTTTTAGTGGAACCAAAGTATTCCATCTTAGTCCCCACGGGTGACAACGCATCTGCATTTTGATTCGTGTGATACTCTATCGAGGACAGATGTAGATGTCTATGGGCTACAACAACTACTTACACTTAGTTGGACTGTGTGCTTGTTTGTTATCCTTATCCTATAAAAAAAATTCAAACTTAGTCCTCCGATACGACAACTAATCTGTTGCTTTCTTCGTTGAAGTTTGAGTCCACAGACTATACAATCATGTGGATGAACTATTTGTGTATATATATATATATATATATATATATATATATATATATATATATATCTGTGTGTGTGTGTATTTATATATTATTGGTACTTTTTATATGTATATTTTAATATAAGTGCACTTTATTCATATATAATCTTCGCACCTGCCAACAATTGTCCCTTGCACCCAGGGTTGACTGGCAGAGAATGCCACATGGCATTAAGTCCGCCCTATGTACCCTTTAGCTTAAGGTGTAAGTTTTGAACAAAAAAATTAAATAAATAAAAAAATTTGTACCTGTTACTAATTATCACAAATTCATTGTATTAGAAATGAAAGGACTAAATACACAGAGCATATTTTATACGAGACATTCCTATTCTCTACTTGTCAACACCAGTAACTAGCTATTTATGAAGATCAAATTATAAGAATAATATTATTTAATTTATTTATATATAGTTATTATTTATTTATTATGATTATTTATATCTGGTATTAATACGAGACTTTTATAACGCTTTCTGTCAAATAACTACTTATTTTCAATGGCATTTATTGGCGTTAACGTATATATATTTTTTTTTTTTTTTTTTTTTTCTATAGAATAAGGGTGACAAATGAACAAACTGTTCACCTGATGGTTAAGTGGATACTGCGACCCACAGATATCTAAATTTATTCTCGATTGTTAATCAAAATGCAGATTGCCACCCGTGAGGACTAAGATGCCTCATGTGAGCGCGTGATTTTTCTCTGGTTGAGAGGAGTTATTGGTACTACTACCACAATACAGCTGTACCTCGCATGACTCTATCACGTAAAGAAGTATGTAAGTAAAAAAGTATGTATAAATACCATCGAAGCCAGAACTCAAAGAAATCTGATCTAAGTGAATAAAATTAGCTTTGAACTAGATAAAAGGTATAACTACATATCTCTAGTCAGCTCGAGCTATAATCCTATTTTAATACAGAATGCGGTGTTCCTTGATCATTTAATAAGGAAAATGCGAAAACCAATAATAACGTTACCTCGCCATAACCCAATCAAGACAACTAGCATGGAAAAGAATTTGAAGTAGCTGCTAGATATGCGTCGCTATCAACGCCGAAAATAATTTATTCGATTCGCAATGTAGTTCGTGCGGGTATTTTAATGAGAGGCTGTTATCTTGAGTGACAATGCCTCATATCTTTTTATAGCGATCGTAAATTTTTAACGTAATAATTAAAACTTTATTTAGTATGTTTACATACAATAATAAAACCGGCCAAGAGCGTGTCGGGCCACGCTCAGTGTAGGGTTCCGTAGTTTCCCGTCCGTCACAATAAGTGTTCCCACTTATGAGTTTAAAGGTGGGTATCCATTATGTTCGCGCTCCAGCAGCGCTCCGCGCTCCTGCAACTGCTCCCGGTAGTGGGTACGTGCGCGAGCATGGAGCGTGCAACATTGCACGCTCCGCGGCAGGCGATGCCAAGGAGAGACCAACCGAACAATTCGATAATACCCGACCCAATGTAATAAGTACCTACAGCGCCATCTCTCGGGGAATTGGGTTACTAATTAATACATAGACGTGTCAGAAGTTTTCGGTGGTAATTTTGGATAATTTTTTAATAATTCTTTTTTTGTTTGAAAACAGATACGTTCAGGATAATAAAATATGTAAACGAAGTTAAAAAAAATGCCTGTTTAAACGATTATACTACAAACTTAGTCCAGAAATTATTTAGTACAACTTTTTGTCTTTTTTGTACAAAAACTGTTTCCATCCAGGTTCAAAATAATTTTCCTAGAAAGTCCTTATAAAGTTCTACCTTTCAGATTTTTTTCATATTTTCTAAACCTATGGTTCAAAAGTTAGAGGGGGGGGGACACATTGTTTTTCACTTTTGGAGCGATTATTTCTGAAATTATTGACATTATCAAAAAATGGTTTTAGTAAACCCCTATTCATTTTTAAATACCTTTCCAACAATATATCACACGTAAGGGTTGAAATTAAAAAAAAAGTACTTCCCACTTTACATATAGGGGGGCTACCCTAATAAAACATTTTTTTCCAATTTTTATTTTACCACTTTGTCGGCGTCATTGATACACATATTGGTACCAAATTTCAGCTTTCTAGTGCTAACGGTCACAGAGATTAAGCGAGGACGGACAGACGGACAGACAGACATGGCGAAACTATAAGGGTTCCTATTTGACTACGGAACCCTAAAAAAGCTACTTTTCTATTATAAAGTGCATTTCTGATCTTTATATTTAGCGTTCCATATTGTAAATGTATTAAAAGTATATTGCAATAAATATAAATATTATTTTTATTTATTGCTTGCTAGCAGACGATGTTCTGCCGTCTCGGGTAGGTAATGTTGATGTCCGATAGATAACGCGATGAGTTTCAGTCCGAATATTTTCAAAAATTTTAATGTAAAAATGTCAATGTTGAACTTCCCACTGCTCAGCAGAGAAAGCAGCAAGAAAGTTATCGCGCTAAATGTTGTTAAATTCACGTCTCAAAATATTTTGTTTTCTTATAGCTCAGAGCATAGATTCATGCAGGTTTCCTCACGATGTTTTCCTTCATCGCCAAACTAATGGTAAATCAGCAATTAAAACTGTATGTGGTGTGTGTGTGTGTGTGTGTGTGTGTGTGTGTGTGTGTGTGTGTGTGTGTGTGTGTGTTTGTGTTTGAATTTTGAATTTTAAAACTGCAATTTACATGTATATTGGTACTGTGAAAAATTACAGCGAGCGCTTAGCTCTTGAACAAACATGGCGCTGAAAATTCCGTAATACCTCAACTATCACAGAATTTTTATATTGTATATATAAAATTTATTAAGAACTAGAACATAGCGCCTAATATAAAATTAAATTCACTACTGAACATTAAGCCCCTCCAAAAAATTGCAGGTGCAAAAGTCAAAAATAGGGCGTGGTTTAGGTGACACAGGCAACAACGAGATCCGAAAATTGGCAATTTGTATAAAAAAAATAATTTAGGTTAAGGTCAGAACTTATGATATATAAATCAGTATAAGTGTCCCTAAATCGCGCGGATGTTGTGTTTGGGTCACGATTAAAGTCAAAATTTGAGGAAAAACAATAATATCTTTATACCGGAATGCATTATATAACACTTACCTAAGCGATAATTATAATCTAGAGTAGATTCTCTGATCTAGGGTGCGAATATATCTGAAAATGATCTTTTATTTTATTTTATGCTGTCATGATTGTCCCCGTATCTGTGATATTTTAATAAGTTTTCTTAGTTGTATCATCTGAAGATCCGTCATATAAGAAAATGATAGGTTTACGAACTTATCTCTGTATAGATTTAAAAACTTCATCATTAATAGGTAACCAAAAATCTTAGAATTTTTTTCGAACAATGTCAAATACAAATCGATGTTCAGCAGGTGCAGAATGATACGAGCCGGGAGAGTGGTCGTTGTTGCAGTCGCCGCTGTGCTGGTCTGCTGTAATGCTGATCCACACAGGGTAAAATGAGGTTTTTTCTATATATTAGGGTTGAGAAGGGAGCATACAGTTCACCTGATGGTAAGTGGATGTTATAGCTCATAGACATCTACATTTATCCTCGATTAAGAACCAAAACGCAGATGCGTTGTCAGCCGTTAGGACTAAGATGGAATGCCTCGTATCCAGTAAAAAGGGTCTATAGTTCTCCATACGAAATAACGTAAAATAGAAGGTTTAATCTGCTATTTTACGCTAGTATTCTGTGATTGTACGTTGTCACAGAATACGAGGTGTAAAATAACTGATAGGTTGTAGCACGATTACGAATACGCCTATAACAGCTTGATTTCATTTTTTACGATAACTTCAAATGATTAAATTTTCAATGCTGGACACAAATTAAGCCGAATAGGATTTTTTCCATAATCGCAACGCTTGACACCCATATTGGCAATGTAAAATGTTTTGACGGGTCTGCAATGTAACGGCTAAGCTTTTGTCTGCGGCGCCGTGGGGTCACAGATTGAAGTTCACACACATCAAATATTTGACGTAGCCAACAAATATTTGGTCCAGTCTGGATGTTATTACATGTGCAATTTATGTCCGTAAAATGCCTACCAAACACAAAGGACAAACCTCCATTCCCCGCCTTTCAGATGCTCTACGTCACCAATTCGGATATTTTACACCAGTTTTTTACATCCCAAACTCGGGACCACTTAATCTACGGTCCTGCTCTTGACCACTAGACCAATGAGTCATCCACTAACTTATTGCATACCTTATCTTTATTTATAAGCGTCGCCCTGGACCCCGTTACTCTGTAAAGCCTATTTAAAATGCTTTGTAATTTGTACAGAAAAAATAACAGCGGTAACAGAATATTAATTTATTTTCCCCCAATACCATTCCTAGAGATATTTGAACAGAGTGCTCCGTAGAGTGGAAATACATTAAGAACTTAAGCTTCCAATCAAAATGTTTAATCGTTGCGGACACAAAATGAATTTTTCAATAAATTTCTAATTAAATTTCAAAACAACATTTAAAAAATCAAGGAGGCTTAAGTAAGCTTTTCTTATATTTACTGTTAATTATTGTTGTTTTGTCCTTTATAAAATGTATTGTTATTTTCTCTCACGGATTACCATTAAGTGGTGGAGTAAGAGTATCCACTGCCCCACGTCATCCCGTGGGTGTCGTAAGAGACGACAGAGCGAAGCAAACCAGGAGATGATTAGCAACGTCTTCTTATTAACAATTCAGAATAATAAAAACCACCTGCCGAGCGTGGCAACTAACAACGGGGTATCCCTATGAGGCAGTCTATGGCCGAGGCCTACGTTCAACAGTGAACTTTGATAGACTCTCAGGATGTTGTCCCACGTTAGTCTCAAAATTACAGGTTCCATATTTATGTGGAACTAAATAAAAAAATGCCAACTGCGTTTCTTTCCTAGCGTGTCATAAGATGACTGTTGTGATATTGAGTTTGTAAATTAGTCGGCAATGAACTAGCCACCTGTAACAATTACTGAAGTTATTTCACTTTTTATATTTGACTATTCGTTATTAAATTATAGTTTATAAGTGGAATTCTTCGTAATATTAACGCATGAAGGGAATTTACACACTTTGTTTCGCATTTTCATTCTATATAATATATTCTATAGTTCGAACTGTTGCCTAAATTATTTATGTAACCTGTACATACATATATATACACTTATTCAACATCAGGCGTGGATGTTTCGCAATAGCTTTTTTTCGGGTTTTATTTAGAATTTTGAAAGAGAGCTTTTTACAATAATTTGCATACTAAAATGTTTATTAATTAAAATTATTATTTGATTCAAAGTAGATTTATAGGGATTTGTGACCACGTTTCATTAACAAATATTAGTGACCGTTAACAGATTTGGCTCAAATTACACAAACTTGGCCGATTGTTCGTTCAACCGATTACAATTTTGCAGATCGCTAACCAGATTCATTCAACCAGATTTATTACGTTAGTTATTAAATTTGCAAAATATGATTACCTAAATAGTTTTAATACAAATGAACCTAATTCTCGCGGGCTTAAAAATTTTGACAGCTAATTTTACATTTCCGCCTTGTCGACAGCCAAGTACAAAACACGTCCTATTTAGTCTATTTTGTTGTTCAAAAAATGTTAACTCAACGTTGACCCTAGAACATCTCCTATGTTGTGGACGATTTTCATACATAAATTGCGCATGGACAAACATTAAGTTATTTGTAGACCCTACAACTTGTTCCATACCTGACTCGAACCCGCGACTTCGCAGCGCCGCTGACTAATGCCAAGCCACTGCGCTACCGAATCGTCAAATTAATTAATTCGTTAATTATTTGTTCGTTATAGAAGTCTTTCGAAGATTTTTATATGAAATTTGTCTGAAATACAGGAACAAGATGGGAGCGTAAGTGAACACAGCTCAGACCGCTACGATGCTAATGGTAAGAATTACATACATCAACTACAATATAAGCTCATTAGTACTGCAATATATTTGCACATTATGAATGCTCCTCAGGCACATGTCTGTTTATCCATGTTTATGAAATATTCCACATATTTTGACATAACTTTCTTACAATGTTATGATTCTTTGTGTTCGGCCAATACTCGTGTTTTCCTAAAATGACTCCTATATGCACCTTTACTTTAAACACCTAAAATGTAATATTGAATTTTGTTAGTATTATGAAAACTGCACGTACTTTTAATTTCATGTACAATTCATTGTCATATTTTGTGGTGATGGTAACGCACTTTTCACTTAATTTGTCTCCGCACAACGATAAATCACATGTTTTTGTGCACTGTACGTCCACTGCACATAGTACACGGTAAGTAACATTTTCTTTTAAATTGATTAAATTAACTTTTTATTCTTCTAATTTTCTTAAGTGATGACAATTTTGTTACAGATTATAGACAAAGAGAATTACAAAACTTTTGGAGGTTCCTCTGGCAAAAGGAACACAGAAATGGGGACAGAAACCTTAACGGTATTGGCGGTAGCACATTGTTGGGTAGGAACGTTAATAGTCTCAGTGTGCCAACATCTCGGGGAAGTTATGGAAAAATTCCGGACGGAATAGGTGGATCTACTTTATTAGGCAGAGATGCTGAAGGAGAAAGTAACGTATATGCCCGATTCGTAGATGCTCTTGGTGGCGGCAATTTTGTCCGTAACTTGGACTCTCTTGGTGGAGGGAATTTCGTTAGAAATCTTGATTCACTGGGCGGAAGCAACTTCATCAAAAGAAACTTAGATCAAATTGGAGGACCTAACTTTGTTAAAAGAAATTTAGACTCGTTAGGTGGTGGAAATTTCGTTCGAAATTTAGACCCTCTTGGTGGAGACAACTTTGTGCGATCCCTTGACGATGAAAACTTTATTTAAAACTATCTCTCTGCTAAATCTTAATAAATGAACAGCGTACAGAATGTGATATAAATTTATTTATTAATCTGTATTGGTGTATGTATGTTTTAATTTTTTGAAATAGATATCTTGCAAATAAGAAACCATCACCATTGTTTTATTTTACCTTTAAAATTTTCTATTTTCCTGATAGAATTTGATATTTATTACTAATATAAAATAATTTAGAAAAACTATAAGTTAAAAATGGACAATGGTTTGAAAGAATCTACTACTGCTTTTGTTTTATGAAGAATGAGGTAAGAAAAAAAGTGCTTTATGGCTTTCTTATACTTTACTATAACTATACTTATTTAAATCGCGTTGAACAGGTCACAAAACTCGGAACCTGGACCCTCTGGGTGGAGATAGCCTTGTACGTGAAGTGCGCGAATCCAGACACTCCAGTTTCTTTCCATATTTTACAGGTCGACGGTACAACTTATTGGGGTAATTTTTCATTTTGTTTCTATGTAGTTGTTTGCCTTCATTATTCAACTATTTTAGTGTCCTCATTATACATCAAAAGTACACATCTAATTTTATTTACAAAATTGTAATTAAATAAAAAAATTTAAACATGTTATAATTACAATATCCCAATAACTACAGAGCCGTGTTAGCTTACGTGGTTACCGTGGTAAAACGAAATGCTCTTTTAAGATAATTGATAGAATCAGGCGATACTTTGCGGAAATCGATTATAATAAAGATATTAATAGTTACTTTGCAAGCATCCGCTCAATTAAATGAAACGATGTGTCTTACCTAGTTTGAAGAGCTCTTTCAAACTAGGTAAGACACATCATTTGATTTAATTGAGCGGATGGTTGCAAAGTAACTATTAACATCTTTATTATAAATGCTCTTTTATCGTTTATAGTATACGAGCAAAATAAAATCGGAACCCTACCGGCTTTTAGTGATGATAACCAATTGCTGAATAGCAAAGGAAAATATCGAGAGAAAATATGCACGCTCTGAAAAATTAGAAATAGTTGGAGATCATGTGAAACCCCCAACACACATTGGAGCAGCGCGACCCACTTTTCCTATTATTTGTGTTACGTTACTTTTTATTAACTGTATAATAGCCAACGGTGGTCACTTATTGTAATCCGAAGCCGAATGCTTGTTTAACCTCTCCTATAAAAAAAGCCCTAACATATAATTAAAATTACGTTTGATGAAATGAACGTTACAAATAATTCAGCTACAGCATCACAAACACTGTTTACCATCAAACGAATTCGTAATAATTTGATTTTTGACTTTAACGTATCGTATTTCGCCTTCGTAAGATTGTAACTGGGGTATTCTTCTTACCAGTCCGTACGGCAGCGCCAGGCGTCAGATGTGGCCCGTGGTACCCTCGGAATATTACCGCGATGACTACCCCAAGCGTAATTTTGATGAAATAGATCGGTAAGTAATACAATAGTTTATCTCTGCTGTATAATGGTTTTAAATTTTAAAACAGATTCGGAATAGACAAAAACCGGTTTGGTTTTATAATATTATATAATATATATATATATATATATATATATATATATATATATATATATATATCTTGTCCTAATTTGGTACCTAATTATAATAGGATTCCGTACCCGAAGGATAACCAACGGGACCCTATTACTAAGCCTCCGCTGCGCGTCTGTCCCCGTCTGCCCGTCTTTCAGCGGTATATCATGCCTGTGAGATTGTGTATTTCTGTTGTTGTTAGAAAAATAAATAATAATTAAAATAAAATAAAAATTAAAGGGGACTCCCCTACTAGAAACGCGTTTTACGACGGTGCGGAACCCTTCATGTGCGAGTTCGACTCGCACTTGGCCGGTTATGTTAAAACGATATCAGACACCAGAATCCCGCCAAGTACGGTTTTAGAATTGCTGCATAACATCTTTAGACAATCTTTTCTATGGGAATAAATAAACTATTTTCATTAACATTGTAAAATACTCTAGAAATTAAGAACAAAATTTATAATCTGTGACATGTACACATGTTCATGCAAGTTGGTAAAAAGCACGTTAATGCAAGTTGGTAAAAAGCACGTTAATGCAAGTTGGTAAAAAGCACAACATTCTAATTGTATTAATCAGTATGTATAATAAAATTTGTCAGATCGGAGTTAGACAGCTTTGTGGGAAAACGGAACATCGATGAGATTAACCAGCCATTCCCGTACGCCAGCAAGCGTTTTTACAACAGCCTCTATGGATTAAACTACCTTGACGCACCTGTGTAAGAATTTTGTTTATGTTTTACATTTCATCAAAACCAATTTGGAATAGTTTTACTAGCGATTGATGTTTATTGGTAGAATCCCACGATGACTATCAATTAAAAATGTATTTAAAAATATGTGTATGTATTTCTTATTCGTGTGTTTCACATTTCCATCAAATAAGCACTTGGTAAAATTGTTCAATAAGATTTCCTTTAATGAACATAGACTTTTTAAATAAAAAGATACTGTGCTCCATCAATGCTTTGGGATTTTTATATTGAGCTGCTTTAACAGCATGGTGAGTATTGACAAATATTCCAAGAATTCAATGCCACCGGGCACACTCTATAAAAGTCACGTATACACAGTAGACTTAAAAAGACTGTTGGTAATTTGGTGGAATAATTGAGTTCAGACAAAACTAAATATCCAAAAAGTACTGAAAATCAAAAAATTGTGTTTTCTGAATTCTGAAAAAAATTTATCAACGACTAGAGAAATAATTTGTCACCGTCTGTCTTTCCATCCGATTACAAACTGAGTATTTTTAAGGCAAGAAAGAATAAGTTTTTCTTAAGCTAAGATAGAGTGATTTACGATCTACCCATCTATGGTTACATCACCGCTTACCACCGGGTGAGATCGTAGTACGGGCTTATAACAAGTTACTTACTATGTAATGGGTTGAATTTAAATTAAACATTAGACGCATTTTTCAGTGTATTAATTAGTATTTAAATATAATTTGAGGTGTTAACTATAGGCCCCCTATCTATAAGAGGATCTTATTAACGATTTCGGGCGCCAAAGGTACGTAAAAGTACGCGGTACACCAAGCTACGATGCTGGATTGAAAATTAAAAAAAAATTAATATAATATAAAATTGTTTTCTATGCGTGGTCGAGTTTAAGAACGTTTTGGGTACTTTGTTACTAAATCATAGCTTATCAATGTCGCGTAGATAATTCGCCCAATGTGCGACAAGTTTACGAGGGTTACCGATGTAAAGGCACTTGAAAGGAAACTTAAACCAAAGCAACTACTCTTCGCCAGTCTGACATAGTGGCTCTATAACTTGACGTCATTGAAAGCTCAACGCAGCGTATGCACCTCTACTTTCAATATTTCAACTAGAATCTTCCCTTAAAACATCATTTTAAATTTAATATTTCATCCAACAATACGTTTCATTTAAAATTATGATGTTTACGCTATGTTATAAATATTTTACTGTCAAAATTTGTTTTAATATTATATTTGATATATTACTTCTATCTAATATATTTCAGGTAGAATATCTCGATTTATTCTTAATAATATTTTTATTACTTTTACAGTTCAAATTTAGATAAGAAGAGGTACAGACCTGACTACCCCATGGACGAGATCGATCTGTCCCATTTTCCCATCGGCTCGAAGAGGTCCATGGTAATGAATTAAAATCGGCCCCTCCTTTAATAATCTAATAACATATTTGAACAACTTAAACTAAACATCAATCCTTGACCAAAGTATGTAAACGAACTTCCGTTATACTCGTAATAATTTTTGTTTTTAATAATAATTTGATTAAATTTTAAAAAGAATAAAATAAAATAATTTTGTTTATAATTATTAATAAAAATAGTATTTTCATGTATAAGTTATATTATGGCCTAGCTTCAGAGTAACTATTTTAAGAAAAAAAAATTAAAATTGTATTTAGTCGCTTAAAAAAATGCTACATAAATTTAAATATCCAGTATTATATTAACATAGATATTATATAAATGTTAAGGATAGGATCTCATTTTAATTGTTATGAATTATAAATCATAAATATTTATTGTTAGATAATAAATAAAAAGGATCTGTAATGGTATTTACCTTTTAATATTTTACGGTAACGTTAAAAATACTTATTCTATGGATTTACTAAATATTATTTTTATTATAAATAAATAAAATTATAAGATTTATTGGTATGTAGTTTTGATTCATAATCCCATGAAAGAACTTATCATACTTACTCTACAATTTACTCATTATATATATTTTTGAAACCATCTTTTTGTATTTAATTCTTCGATATTGTCTTCGAAATATTTTATTCCTTTAATGCCGCTGAGAACATAGTAAATCAGCACTTTAAATTGCAATTTACAATACCATTGGTGTCGGCAAATCACGAATCTGAAAACACGTACTGTGAAATTGACGGCTAGTGCTTACTCTCTGAGCTACCACGGCTACATACATTACCCGGCCGTAGATAAAGAAAAAGATAAATATACATTTATTGCATAACTGCGTACAATATGATCTTAGTTCAAAAACATATAGTTTTAGGCTCAACAGTTTACACATGTCGGATATGCAACAATTAAGAAAATAAATTTAATATTTACTACTTACTAACATTAATTTTATTAAAAAACTCGTTAAGATTGTAAAAAACATTTTCAAATAACAATTTCTGTAACTTTGTTTTGAACATATTTCCATTTAATTGTTTAATAGCTGGTGGTAAATGATTGTATACACGAATAGCAGCAATATAGGTACTTTTATAGTAAATCATGTTTTTAATAATGGGTAAGCTTATATCCTATTTATACTAATAGCGAATGTTTTTCTTTGAATCAGATTTCAAACTAAAATATTGCATATTGTTTTTAACAAATAGACATAATTCCAGGATAAAAATTCCAGTCAATGTTAGGAAACCCTTTGTTCTGAAAACATCTCTTGATGATTCGG